ATACACAATTTTTACTAAAATAAATGGCTCAGGATTCACATAAAGCATTAAGGCTCAAGTGTCACAAGCTGATGAATTCAATGGAAAAAAAGAGGTGAAATTTTGACACCAGATCATTATAGCAGGTATTCTTAATTGAATATATTGTTACTTACACATTAATTTTTTCACAATTCAGTGTTCTTCTATATTCATATTCATATTTGAAAATACTGCTTCATAATTATTAATCACTATGTGTGAGATGCTTTCAAATGCAAATAAAAATCATTTACTGTGGCAATTATAGGCTCTATCATCTATATAAACAAATACAGAAATTAGATAAATTCACAGGATAGGCATTTAGATCCACTAGAAAAAAACTAATGCCACATGACAAAATTTAATAAAGTAGTGAACAGGGCACTGTTAAATTAATGTTAATATGTATGTACACTATAATCTATAATAATCGCAGCCATCACAGAAAAAACTGAAATGGTTTAGAAAACAAGCTGATGTAGGCTGATGTGGGCTTCTCACCATGTACTAATTCACAAGTCACAGAATATCACACTGGAAGAGACTTTAGAGACACAGTGCGACTGGAATTTCATAGATGAGAAAATAGAGAGAAAGGTTCCAGTGACTAGACTTAGGTCGCGTTTCCTTTGTTCGTTACAGTAATAGTCAATGTTGCCCATCATTAGTCTTTTAATTACAAGTAAACTGTTACATCTATACAATTTTGTCTACTATCCCACTACCTTACATGCAGTTTCAAAATGATTTTAATATATTATACTAGAGAACAAAGTTTTCTAAAATGAGCATGGTTTTATGGTTTTTAAGATCATGGTATATCCATATATTGGCCACTAAAGTTCATGTGATAATGCAATGAGTTAAACAGGATATAAAATGATGAATATGGTATTACCAATTTTCAAAATTGTATTGTATGTATAGAAATGGATCTGGAAAGAAACAGCGAAACATTAGGGGGAGAGGAAGGAGGAAGGTGTCAGCTCTGTTTGATGCTGCTCGGAGGGCACAGAGATGAGACACACAGATGAGAGACAGAAACATCTAATGGGTTTAGAGACAAGGTTATTAATGACCTTGGAGAAAGCTGTTTTGATGGTATAGTACGAAAAGAAAGCTAGTAAATTAAGAAAGGAAATGAACCACAGCAAATGTTTCTCTAATGGCTGACATTTTACTATCAGATTCAGTCACTCTTTCTTCTTCAGACAGTGCTGGGTAAACACCGATACATTTGTATTCTCAGATACCCCTTTATGCTCAGGTCCAATAACGGGTAACCTTCTTCTGGCAAACGGTCTTTCTCCAGCCCAGTATAATATAATCAATTCTATTTCAGCTTTTTGATTTACAAC